CCCCTGGAGTCGGTGTGCCCTGTGGCGTTCTCTCACTACAGCAGAGCCCAGCAGCGTGAGAGGCCGGGGAGCCCTGAGCCTGGAGCACACACTCTGCCAGACCCACACCCACGACCACTTGCAAATGTTCGCTCTTTCGAGGGCTCACACCCGAGCGGATCTGAGTCACTGTCGAGCTACCCGTCCCCTGCACGGCACTGCTGGAATTCACTACATAACACTGATCTGAAAACTGTCCAGAGCAGCACAGGTTTTAACAGCATAAACCAGGATGCCGGCTAATGGGAAAATGACCAGCAGAGCAGCAGGGCTGGGAGAAGGGAGACACGTGGCTGTGCCCTCACTCGGTCCCTCCTGGGTTCCCACCACACCCGTCTCTGCACGTCTGTGAGCTTCTGCACGTACCACCACGGAATCCACCCAAGACTCTTTTCTCTTTCCAATGTCCTGGAGTGATGCCTGGGTCATTGTTTGACTCTTGGGTTTGGTAATAAAAACACATCAGGTCTCTGAGCACACATCTGGCCACATTGCATCCTTTTATTTTAACGTGCAGTATTTTCACTGGAAAAGTGTTTTGGATATATGAGCAGCAGAAGCACTTCTGGTTAACTTAAGAATTCCTTGTTTATTCAACACTCGTCAGACTGTGGCCTTTTAGTCCAATGTTTGGAATTTCTGGAAACGTCTCACGGGCACTTGCAAAAAGACTCTCATTCTCTGAGCACAAGTGTGAACACCATCACTGAGTCAGCTCACAGGCCGCGCTGCTCACCTGTCTGTGTCCCTGTACACTCACCTACCAGGTCGGCTGGCGGCCGGACGTTTCTTTACATTTAGTACCTAAGTTTTAGCTAACAACAGACTGTGAAACGGCCCAATTCCCAAATCTTTTCAAACCTCCCTGCAAACCAAATGATTAAACGAGAGTGAGCTCTGCCTACCTCGAGCTGTTTTTCCTCTTCCTTTTCTTTGTGTTTCAGCCCCAGGTCTTCCAAGGACTGGCAATGCTGAGACTGTAACTCTTCCTGTAACTGCCGGAGGGCTGCCTGGTGCCGAGTCTCCAGGTCCTGGAGGGCACCTAGACAGCAGCACAGACCCAGGGAAATGAGCGCTTCCTCCGGAACAATAATGCCGACCAGTACATTAGGACTAACACCGAGTGCTCCCTCCTAAGTGCTGCCCCAGGGCCTCCTCCTCCTCCTCCTCCAAGCCTCCCCAAGGAGGTGGGGCGGGAGCCCAGCCAGCCCTTCCCTCAGGCTGCCATCCTCCAGGGGACAGGCCACCAGGTAAATGCGACGCCCCTGGGGTACAGTCAGCAAGCACATCGCTTTTTGTGGGGAGTAATCTTGTAACTAAACACGCCGAAAACACCTCTGAAACGAAGGTCTCAGAGGCTTGTGAGGACTGTGCCCAGAGCCCCCCGTCGATGCTGCGCGGCCTCCCACTCCCAGCTCTGCCCTCGCCCCCGCCCGCCCAATGTCACGTACAGACAGTCCTCAGTATTTAAAAACCCTCGTCAGGAGACGGGCC